AAAGAAAGAAAGAAAGAAAGAAAGAAAGAAAGAAAGAAGAAATAATATGTTTACCAAAATAAACAGAATGAAATGCCGGTGGAGAGCAGAGGTTTAGGAAGGGCTCCCAGGGGCTGGAGGTTAACTTGTGGGGCATACTTTTCCAGCATGCTTAGGGCTGCGCATCTGGGTCTTTGAAGAGGTACATGGGAATGCTGCTCCACTCACTGTTTTAAGCACCCTGTACCTGCCCCGCCCCACCCCCATGCTTTGTAGGACTCTGCCATGTGCCCCCCAGGGCCCTTGTCAGTCCAACTCAACAGCTAGCTTTATGCAGACTGCGGATACTGAGTAGCTCTGCTCAGATAAAGTCACCTCTGGTCATCCTCCAGTGGGGTCACTGACCTTTCTCTCTGTTCCCTCACGTTTCCCAGGCTTCTCTAATCTTTGGGGCCTGACTTTGCCACTCCCCTTCACTTCACACCTCTAGGCTCTGTCCCTAGGCCCTGAACTAGGAACACGCACATTTTGTCACCTCTGCCCAGAAGAAAATGTCCTGCCCCTTCTTTACCTCCCTGTCCCTGCTGTCCCTGGCCTGACCTCACTTCCTCAAGCTGCAGAGTCCTCTGCACTGGCAGCCCTTCCCTGGAAACCACATGTCCCAGACTCTACAATCTGTCAGCACTGAGGCCTGCTCCTTTTCTTGGTTTGTTTTCAACTTTTTTTTTTTTTCTTTTGAGAAGCTGGAGCTGGAGCCCAGGGCTTTGCACAAGCTGGGCAAGTGTTTCTCCTCTGAGCTGCACCCAGGGTCCCTGGCAGCCTTTCCAAGCCTGTATCTGTAAGCAGGAGTCAAGGTTAACTCCTCAGCAGAGAGATGGTCTGTTCTGTCTACTCATTCACTTATTTCCATGGGGATGAGAGCCCAGCAAATCAATGATCTTTTCTCCCCAACTGTGTGCACATTTGACATCTCTTTAAAAAAAAAAAAAGAGCGGGAGTGTAGCCCAGTTCTAGACCTTTGGCTTAGCATGTGGTTAACTCTAGGTATCACCCCCAGGCACTGCAAAACAAAGCCCAACCCCCACCCGGAGATTCAAATTTTCACGTCAGCAGGGAATCTCCCAGCAAGTCAGCCTATGGGAGCCAGGTTGGTATTTAAGAGGCTCCTGGAATGATTGCTTGCGCAGAGGCTGAAGAGACTCCCTAGATCCTAGGTCCTAGAGGCAGGGGCAGACTTGTAATCCCAGTAGTCAGGAAGTTGAAGCAGGGTGATGAGAACTCGTGGCCAGATCAAATTCAAGGTTACTAGACACACGCCAATGTCGTCCCAGTCCCCAGGCAGAGTAAGTCAGAATTTCTGAGGGAAAGCCCAGACAGCTGACCTATATATTTGACATGTGTCTCCAGTGATCTTCAGGTAATTCTGGGGAAACAGTAACTCCAAACTGACATCCTAACCCATGATAATGACTGGAGGTTCCTTAGGAATCAGGGATGTGTACATGAATAAGCTCACAGCCCCGGAGAGAAAGGGTGCTAAGGAGACAGGAGGCATTGCATGAGGTGAGGTGCTGCCAAGCGCTGAGACAGTAAAGGAAGCAGGACCAGCTGCAGTCACGGAAGGCTACCTGGAAGAGGCAGTCACAAAAGATGGCCAGGACTTCAGCAAGATAGCCTCAGGAAAAGCATAGCTTAGGAAGAAGTGTTCAAGGGAGGAGACATCAGGCTGGTCTTGTCCGTCCTTTGATGTTTCTTTTCTCTCGGGCACACCTAAGTATCAAGTTTAGTCCCAGAAAGTTTGGTGACCTCTGAGTCGGGTCAGGAGACACCTCATTTGGTATCCAAGTGACACAAACTTGTGAAATACAAACAGGTTTTTAGCTAGTAAAAGGCCAGTCAATACACAGCAAACATTTGCACAATGCTCTAGGATTTCCAAACAGTTATACAATGACTATTCCCTC